GAAGCCAGGGTCAGAAAAAACGTTTCTTGGCCATTATTCAGTGTCACTAAAATATGAGAGCGTTCCGTAGATAGTCAATATGAAGTATAATGAGTTTTTGCACACGTCCAGGACACATTTATAGAAAGCAAAATCAAGATATACATTAAAAATTTCGACCCCAATGTCATATCTACTAGTCCTACGCCTTGCTAACCTTGCCGGTACTGCACAGGACATCGGTTACTCGGTTCCTGTGGGACACAGGGATAAATTTCATGTAAGAGGAAACACTCAGGTAACTTTTTTCCAGAATCGCTTCGCGGATTCGGAACGCACATTTGAGATCGGCTTCAGAAAACACCTAAAACACGGCAGTATCCATCTAATCTTAAAAGATCACTGCGACTCATCATCCTTCCCTTGTTAGACCAATAATTCGACGCTGTTACACGACTATTTGAGTCTGGGAGACAGAAGATAGAGAGTACCAGAGAAGGACATGTCAAATCTATACTCATAGGAGGCAGAGTGTTAACTATGGATGGCCAAAAGGAATAATCCTATGCCACATTGAAGGGAAAAGCTTGACCACTTTCTCGCTGCAGCATGTGTACAGCACAGAAGGGGAAGGGGGGCATGCGATTCACCCCATTAGAGTTCTTCGCGCACGCAGCATCCTTCAGTACTCATCTGTGAGATGGACCGAATAAGATTTGCTCTAGTTCACGGTGAAGCCGTGAAGATTTGCAGTAGTCCACGGCTCCACCGTGAATTAGAACAAATCTTTTCACTATGGCAATGCAGCTCTTCTGCGAAGAATTCACTTCATAGGTCAGCAATGTACTTGTCAAGGGTTGCAAGGGTTCAAAATAAGAATAACTTCAAATTTTTTTTCCTAGAAACCTCAGTACTTCTGTAAACGTGCATAGCTGGTCATTATTTCACTTGTCCGATGACCTCATTATATTGACGCGTGAATCGCACCACACACAGAAGATAACAAAGCAGACAAGATTGTCACGGATTTGACCGGTCTTCTGTGAGGGGTTAGGTGCTCGGCCCAGCATGGCACGTAAGTTGAGAAAGGAAAAAAATGGCAGAAACTAGCATCTCTGAGGCAAGCTGCTCGAGATGAGCAGCCTTCAAACCTAAATAGGCTGTAAAATAACAGAAGAAGGAACTGATTTGTACTCCGTATCTTGATGCATCAGAGCTATACTACGAGCCCATCGGGTGTGAGAACGAGCCCATCGGGTGCGAGAAATATTCAGTACGCGCGCAGCCCCATTTATTCCGAGAGGAGCTACCTTCCACTTGTGTTTTCGTGTCTTGGGGTTACCATTCTTTTCTTTGGAAGGTGGGACTCTATGTTTGTGGATGTCAATCTTTACTTGTGTTTTCAATTCATCTGGAACCGAAAAATAAAAACTAGCACAGTGGCCATTAACAAAGAACAAAAAAACGAACAGCTACAAAGTGACAAGCTATAATGCAAACAGGCGAATGGGTGGTGTTGGCAATATCTTCTTGGCAATTAAAAATCGGTTTTCATGTGGTGGAAATTTAAGTGGTTTCGAATGCGTGCTGAGAAATGCGCAATGGTAGGATAAGCTCATGTGGCGAAGGGCGTTGCGTGTCGTTCTCGCCGGATGCTGCATCCTGCGCTGTCCTGCTCATGACCTTGCCGTGCGGTGGTGTAGCCCTTAATTGAACAACTCTACACCCGGAGCGTAGGGTTTGATCACCATAACTTACGGATCTGAGGCGCCCAGACGTTACGTACTGCTCACAACATTAAATGCTAATCGTAAACCTGGGGCGATTACGCAAGATCGTATCGAAGCGAAGTGTTTCGATGTCGTCGTAGCCGGATCGCAGGGACGCAGATACTATCATGGATCACCACAAGGAGGAATACCGCCGAAACCTTGGCAGAGCGAGCTTGTCAAGAGCAGTTCCCTTGTGTCCTTTCTAAAATCACGGCGGCGAAATCACTCCACTTTTCCTTGCCTTCGCCTTATTGCTAGATTGCCCTGCGAAGTTGCCGCGCGTCGCGACATTCGACTTATTTATAAAGTGAGGGCTATGGGATCAAAACTAAGTAAACAGATTCATAAATAATTGATGAGCAATGTTCCGTCCCATTTAGTGATGAGAGAAGTAAGCTAGAAATGCGGAATGAAATGAACCGAAGGCTGTAGACGTCCAGTTCGTCCAACGAACTAATGCATATATTTGCTCCAGATCCAGATTAGCTGCTTGCTTTCGATAATTACAAAACTTTCTCGTGTCCATTGGATATGTGAAGCACCTGTCTTGGTCACAATCTTTATTGGTTGACAACGTTTCGGGCATTAGCCCTTCTCCAGAACCACTGAATTATAAACTCATTTACAGTTACAACAACATAGACCATCAAATAACAGCTTTAAAAACCCAACGGTTACCAACAGAAAAGTTGAACAGCCGGTTTGGGGCGAAGTGGGACACACCAGCTGGTATCGGATTAGTTCATATACGTGCAGTAGTGAAGAGATCATGCCTTCATCACACCTCCTACAGAGTGCACGTCCTATATTGATATGAAGCTCAAAGTCAAATTGCATTGGTTGCAGTCAAATTGTTGTTATTGTTAATTGTGTTGTAATGTATTCTACACTAGTAAAAAAAGAAAGTAAAAGTAGAAGTAAAAACTGATTGTTCCATCGCACTCAAAGTGAATATTGTAAAGATGCACTTCCCTTACTACTCAATAAAACATAAATAAATGGCTCTATGTTCATTAAAAGCAAAGCGATAAACTTAGACTACAATCCTACGAGATGGTAGGGGTCGTCGAGGTCTTTTCTGAAAAATTGTCCATGTTGACACTCATTGTTGGTTTGGTCTCATGGACAAGTAATGGTCCGAGCAGGGCACAATTTCCATATTAAGCTCTTCCTGAAATGCCCTGGAACATGAGTTTATGTAAAATTCATCGGTGGCTGTCTGTATCATTATACAACGCAGTGTATAATGTTTCGAATTAGTTGCGATGAGCCGCGGAAAACGACCGCCAACCTTCTAACGTTGTGAATCTGCCGAGTACAGCAATCGGATTTTATACTACCGGGAGATAGTTTGAGTGACTATCAGTTACAGTTTCTTACCATTAGGTGTTAACGTGTGATGGCGAACCATGCATAAGTAAAGAACAAAGGGTTAGAAAAGGATAATAAATTAGAGGGATTTTAACGTACCGCGAATGTGCGACACCGTAACCCCTTAGTGTCCCACCACCCTTTCCCATGGGCTTCATCCAGGGTATCTTTCCTTTGCGTCGAATATGTGACGGCGCTTTGGAGGCGCTTAAGCGTGTGTTTGGGTTACTGTGTCACACATTCCATTCACGGAACGATTAAATCTGTCTTGTGAAAATAATGATAAAAATAGGTATACAGTCCTATTAGACACAAAGCAACGTCTGTTGACTATTTAATTTATCCAGTAGGAAACACCAGCTAAAACAAAGGAACATAAAAATTCATTACAAAACAAATTATATTATCAAATCTACACGATTGTAAACGCGTATCCAACCATTCACATTCGAAAGATCACAAACTCGGGGATATCGTGTGAATGAAATATACACATGATGCACGTGTAATGGAAAAGTAGGATAGAAAAGAATTGACACTCCCGACAAAAATGTAGTTTGCAAGAAAAAGCAATGGAGGGAATGGAGGGAACGCTTCGGTTTGATAAGAAGAAGAAAAAACTTCTGACGTCATATAAGGAAATTCTGACATAAAGGAAAAGTGCCCGGTCACAGCTAACAATTAGAGCACCGAACTTCACGTCTTATATTACACAGGAGTACATCCCCAGCCCAAAGATGAGATTAATAAGGAACCAATTTCACTCAATCCGCTTACTGAAGTGCAGAAACGGCGAATTAGTGTTACTTCTATAACATCCTCAACGTCCACTCCACAAAACATTCATTAAAATATCGACTGAACAGTTAGAATCGCGAAAGCGTTGACCCTGTTAAGATCAGACGGCACCGAACAGGTGATTGAGACGTTGAGATTGTTGACAAATAAAGACAAAATGGAAGGCAGCGGAAACGTAACATCACCATGGAGCGCAACAATAATATAACCTCATTTTATCATCATGTACACTTTGATCCACGCTGAACTATACACAATCCTGTCAATACCCATGTGAGAAAAACGATGAAAAATAATGACAATGAAAAAGAAGGGTGAATAAGGGTAGCGCAAAGCGCAATCAAGAGATATTGACACACAAAACAAGTGAACCACAAATGAACTGACATGAACTGTTCCATTTCACGAGCTGCGCTGCAGTAATAAGAAATCTGCAGAGCGGCAAAAGGGAGCTTCTTTGAGTACAAGTTCCTTCGAGTGACCAACGACTTGCCCCACTGTTGAGGACCACATGAACCACTCGAAGCAGCAGCCACCCTCCTACTCGTAGATCAACCCTCAAAATAAGAAACAGGACGAAAGCGTCTTAAAGAACACATACATCTGATGATAATTCCTAAAACGCCATATCATGTGAATACATATGCAAACTAGGAAAGATAACAACCCGCTACCAGTAATAGATAATAACGTTGTAAAGATCACAATGGATCAATATCAACCATTCAAACTACAGCTACAAGACACATATGGAAATGTGATACGCGCGTAGTTTTGTAAATACAGCCACTACATGCGCTTGGATCCAGTGCTCCACAAGCTCTACATGAAGAGAAAGAAGGGAAAATAGATATTGGAAGAAAAGGAGGTAACTGGTGGAGAGACGCTCATGTCGAGTGATATACAGAAGCACAGGAAACCCAACAAAACAAACAACAACGAAACAGATGTTCCTCTCTCTAGTATCTCTACGACAAACCGTCGCGGCACTTGAGTGGCATGGAGACAAGCGCTGTCACCGTCAAAGGAGCTGTAGCAGTAATGGCGATATCGACAAACAACGGTGTAGATGCATAGCTGTTACTTCTTCCTTTGCAGCGATTCAATCAGTCCACGGCTCTGCATTTGCTGGATTTGTCGTAGCAATTGAGGATTGTTCATCAGTGCGGGATTCATTGCAGCTGCAGCAGCTGAAAGGTCTCTAGTTGGAAACAGCGAAAAATAAGCTATCCTTTGAATTATTGGGAAAGGATAGGATCTCCCTTCTTCAGTACAAGCTGAAAGGCGTGACACTGCATCTTGAAAATGCTATACTATAGCTTGAAATCCCGCATGGAATATATCATAAAATGCCTGCCAACAAATGAATTTTTCCCTCAAACAGGACCACTGAACAAAAAGATCACTTCGATTTGCTGCACGAAAACTAAGTACTCGAAGGAAAAATTGGGATACCTAGTTGAGCAATGGCGTTGTTGTTCTGACCAGTTAATCCAGATGACTGTGCATGCTGTACAGCTTGCGCGAGCATTGTCATTGCCATATTTGGCTGACTTGCCTGAAACATAAAATGTATTACAAAGACCGAAGCGCAAAGTGCTTGTCTTAAATAAACAACTTGGAAGCCGATAGTTAGGAGAACTTAGCAATCATCAGAATGATTGCTCTGCGGAAATGGAAAGCCACAGACTTAGAACGAGTTTTACAGTATCGCCTTTGTTGAACGAATGAAGTCACATGAATGCAATGAACCTCTAACTCAACACAACTTCACTGTGTAAATTATATGGCCATGATGCAACCAGGAATCGCCTCACTAAACCCGACAATGGCATATGTCATATTAAAGGCTAGTCGAAATCTGTGGCCCAAATTTCAGAATTAGGGGGAGGAGGTAAAATGAGAAAGATATGACTGAAAAATGACAAAGACATGGCTGTAAAATAAGACTGACAAACACAAAACACAGCCATTCTGCTTTGTGGCAGATCTAATCCTTACAAAGCAGGCATAGCATAGGTCGCCTTCCAGTACCCTGGTTGTGAGATTGCTCTATTCATGTTACTCTATGTTGTTACTCTCGATGGAGTGCCCCAAAAGATTTCGCGGTTTTCGAAGTGTCGCGTACCAGGCCTACATTTCGACAGACATGCGCCAAAGTGCCTAGGACATCAAAGCACAGACTGGGAAGTAAATGGAAGCAAGTCCTTGATCAGTAAGGCAAATAAAGACAATGACTACTGGTTATTACTACCACTTGAGATAAGTTTCTCCACAAAGTCTTTAAAAAATGATAAGTTACAAGACAGCATGATATATAGCAACGAGTTCATATGTCAAGAAATACCTGCTGTTGCGCTTGTTGTTGCTGCAAGCGCATTTGAGTAGCAGCCGCCTGCAACATCATTGGATTCCACATCTGAAAAATATGTTACAATGTAGCGAAATCCTACATCAGTGCTGGAGTAATGAAGCTATTTCCGTTCTCATTGCCCACCTGTTGCATCATGCTTGCCATAGGATTGCCAGCAGCTGCAGCACCCGCCATCTGAGTGGCTGCCATCGCCATCATTGGATTTGCGCGAACTAACTGTTGCATAGCTGCCATTTGCTGTTGCATTGCTGCCTAAAATCTCCCAACAGATACTGGAAAAATAGGTGAGGTGAAAAGCATCATAAATTTGCTTGATTGATCAAGACAACATTCCAGATTCCGTGAGCATTGGTGCACTTACGGAACTACGGGCAGGACTTCTTATAGTGACACATGTGAATACCGCCAATACATACCGCCCTAGTTTTAGAAGAAACGAGACGAAATGAACTCTAAACATTCAACACCGATGTCCCCCTATTCCCTTAATGCACGTTGATAGAACATTCCAGACCGTTTTTTCTTACCAAAATCTGCCTCAACAGGACACCCTGGCAAGGTCACGCGTTTGACGCCATTTGCGAATAAGATTTTTCCCAGCCATTTGAATAATCCGGAAAAGATACGTTGGGAATACAAGCTGGGGGAAACGAGGACTATTTTGTTCAACATTATTATTATGGAGAGCTACCTTCGAGCCTTCGGAGTGAAGGTGACACTGTTAAGCATGTGTAGCATGCAAGAAGCACTCAGAACTAGATTCATGAGTGCACAATGCGAGAAATACGAGAAAAATTAGAAATCGTAGCCTTAGGAACTTCTCAAAGTTCCTTTCACACGAAATCGAGAAAGTAGTTATGAATAGACCAAAGCTTCAACGATATTCACCATATTTAATCCAGGAGCACTACTCGATTTCTTCAGGGATGGAGGATTAGAAGTCGTGCCTGAAGATGTCGCACCAACTTTCGAAAGTGGGGTCGTGGAAGGTGGTACCTCAAACAATTATTCTGACATTATGAAAAATAGCACAGTAGCAAGAGTGCAGCAACTACTCACCGGGGTAGCTGCCTTACGCAATGTCGGTGTACTGGTCCCGCTACGTTGCGGTGTCCCTTGCAATGGATTAGGTTTTGTACTCAAGTTTTGCGCTTGACTGGTGGAGGCAATGGAGGCTGATGAGGCTGCCGCTGCAGCGGCTGCTGCTGCGTGCGCCTGCGCAGCAGCAGCAAGGGCCGCCTCTAGCTTACCATCGGCTATTTGCTTTTCGAACTCCTGGAAAGAGGTAGACAATAGAATCATGAACGCTGAACCATTGAATATGGGGTGAGACTACATCTATGCCGGGGCTAACAAACTATTGCATCCTGAAGTACACTCACAAATGAGCCAGGCCCAAGAATTTTATATCGAAATAGCATACTAAGAAGCTTATTACCAAAGTGGAGAAAGTGCAAATGACTTTTACTAGATTGGTGTATTTTCGAGTTTTCCCTGAGCCTGGTTATCCTAGGACAATGCCGGCTTACAGTATTCGGCTAAGAGAGCTAGGTCTGAAAAGTCTTCTTTATAGGCGTGTTTTTGCAGATTTGGTGCTCGCTTATAGGATCCTCAGAGGTAAGACGCTTTTAACTTCTTCCTACTTTTGGTATTTCAAGCCGGGGTCCACCCGGAGACCTTCTCTTAATCTATGCTGTTACAGACATATGTTCCGTTCTAGACGTAATGCACGGATCACCGTTAGTAGTCTCCTAAGGGATTCTTTTTT